TGTCGGAATCGGAAGTCATTGGGAAGAAAGGAAAATTCAAGATCCGGCGAAGAGAGGTTTTGTGAAGGAAAGTAGAGAGAGTTTTTGATTAAAGCACAAAAGTAAAAGAAGAGAGTAATGGTGAAAAGAAGTTACCTCAAGCTAATGATGAAACCGCCTCGGAAGTCGTGTGGGAAGTGGGAAGGTTTTTTCCGTTTTAATAGTAATTAATCAATATACGGTCATAATGATGACAGATGTCACTTGGTTAAAAATGGCTAGTGCCGAAATTAAAGGAGTGATGTGATTTTCGGCGGGAAATCAGAAAGATTCTCGAGCGCAATCTTTGGCCACTTAAGCATTTAAAGTCCTCCGAATTGGAATAGCACTTCGAAGAACTTGGGGGGCTAATTGTTGGTGTCGGATCCCGCACCGGAAATACGAGACCAACCAAAGATTGCCACGTAGTCAAGGTAATGACCCATAAAGGATGAAGCCCATCGGACCCATGAGCCGAAGGAACGGTCGAAGTGGTTGTCACCACTTCGAGAGTCCGAAGTGACTACATTGTGACATGAGTTCGATGTAGACACGGGTAAGACGGTTCAAGGACACTTGGGCCGGAAAGGCGAGGCCCAAGAAGACCAGAGTCAACTCAAATTCAAACGTTGAGCATTAAAGTCGAAGAATCAAAACGGACGCATTTAAGAAGGAATAATTGTACTTAATTATTCATTTTAATGTCGTTTCTCTATGTATAAATAAAAGGCCAATGACCATGTAAAAAGGGGATCGGCCTCTTGAGAAAGAAAGAATATAGCGATTTTCGTAGCAACTCATAAGCTTTTTACATATTTATTTTTTGTCCCTCAAGAATAATCTTTCCTACTTAATAAAATACTTGAGTGTGTGAATCCGACATCCACAAATATTAGATTAAATTATGAGTATATAATACTTTATAATCTTATTAGATAAAGTTTGATTTTCAAAGTTAGTAGTTACATTATATATTTCAATTTTTTGTTGATTTAAAATAATTTTTTTATATTTTTGAATTTTCTTTTATAGTTAGTAGGTAAGATCAATATATGCTATTTATTTTCCTAATATTTATAATTTAATGGTTGAATTTTTAGATTGTTTATTTTAATTTATATTTCTATCTTTGAATTATCTAAGACTCATATATTATCGTGTTTATAGTTTTCTATTCTTTTTAGTTACGTCAAATTAATTTCTTTTAATTTCTCAACTTTTAGTTTATTGGTTGGTCATAAACGCATTCTAATCAAGTAGTTTTTATTTATTTTAATTTTTATAAATACATCATAAATTATTGCTATATAATATAATTTTTTATTCAAAATATTCTTTAAGTCAAAAAATTTAGTGGTTAAAGAAACCATGCAAAAGTAAAAATGAAGAGACATATAGTTGGACATAAAAAAAAATAAGACATATAATTGGATTAATGTGTTCATAGATACATTTTGTAGGTGGTGATAGAAATCATATTTCAATAGTAAAATATGATTGGATTGAAATGGATAGGCTTAATGTGTTCATAGATACATTTTTTAGTTGTAATGTAGATAGTAGATTTGTAAATGGATTGAAATAAGCTTACCGATGATTTGCATGTAAAGCAGTTTCTCAAGTAGTAGAATCATTTACGCGAAATTGCTAAACTACGTTCTCGAGATTTGACGATAAAAATAATGATGAATATATGGCAAAAGTTTTGAAGATTGGTAATTTAAATGTACTAGTTTATTGTAATAAATCTTACAATAAATTTAAAATATAAAGATGCAAATAAGTTAAAGCAAAACGAACATATAAATAACTTTTTTTTTAATTGAAGAAAAAAAATATATATATATATATATATATATAATTATCTTCTCTAACTTAAAGATTATATATATATTTTCAAAGAATGTAATTAAAAAATTTTAAAACCCACACATCAGACGGTCCTAATCTATTTTAATATAATTTTTAGTTAAATAATTTAAAAACAAGATCTATCATTGTGATTTGTGAATCATTTTTTGTCAATATAAATAAATTGATTAAAAGTAAACATGAGGTACAAAGTTTACATAATTAATTACATATAGATCAAAATTTGCACGTCATGTCTATTTTTTTCAGCGCATATCATGTCTCTCTCCACATCGATATCAGTTTCCATAGCATCTCTTATTCTTATATCTTCTCTCTCTCTTCATCTTCTCCGACCTTTGATTTGCTCTCTCTGACGGCTCTCACTGTCGATCAAAGGCACAAACCCTAGTAAAAGTTTTTTCAGCGGCGTTTTAAAGATTAAAGAAACACAGAAACCCTAAAACAATGCTCATGTGGGCTTACCAAAATTCAGCCCACTAAAATCGTGCCCAGAACAAAAATCAAAAAATAAGAAATAAGCCCATGGCCCGTTAAAAAAATACTTATTGGGTTGGAACGACGGAAGTGGCGCGAAAATTTTACATAGTTATCTCCCGAATGAGAAATATCATTTTCACAAATCATTTATTATAAAAAAAAAAGTTATTCCAATTTGTGAAAATGATATTTCCTTTCACCTAAATATATATATATATATATATATATATATATATATATATATATATATATATATTTTTTTTATAAACCCAAAATAATTTTGTGTTTGATGAATCATAGTAGATAAATGTAACACCAGCTAGAGCTAGTGTTAATCCAAAAAATTTGGATCTCTTTTTTTGTTTTTGGTTAAACATTAGGATCTTATTACATGTTAGCTGCGAGGACATCAAATCGACTCAAACTTGTCATATTCTTTGTCTTCACAACCATCGAACAGAGCCTATAAAGTTACATTTATCTTTTGAGAATAAAATGTGACGGTGATGCTTATGACAATTTCCATATATCAAAATTAATTTATTCCTCTGATGATACTTGGTTTACGTCTCTAGATTCGGGTACAACCCACCGGTTTAAACGTCTCAACGACGTAGACACCTAAAACATTTGGCAACAAACTGTTTAAGCACCAAAAACATAGCTTGCTTGAACACACTAATTTTTTCATTCAAAAAAATATCTAACCTGTTGATCCCAATCTGTTCTCAGAGTCATGACGGTAAGCACACAAGTCTGAACGAAAATTCCAAAGAGCATTCCGATCCATACACCCTAAAATTTAGAGAAAATAATTTATTTTGTTAGTTTCAATTGTTAATTCTATTATTACAAATATTTGTTTCAAAGACCTTGTATTAATAAAGAAGGAGAAAAATAGTAAAAATTTGTAAAGGAAATAAAACTTACTTTCACTTGCAAACCAACAACGTAACCAAGGATAATACCAATAGGGATTCCAACAAGGTAATAGCAAGCAAGGTTAACGAAAGTAACATATCCTTGCCATCCCGCTCCGACCGCAACTCCTGTTAAGGTTTAAACCGATTCAAGACACATTAATATTTCAAATATCGGTTCGGGTTCGATACTATAATAACGATAACGCGTCAACTAGCTAAATTATGTACCAGAGAGAACGGGTTGAACACTATTCATGAGGATGGAAAAGGCTAAAAGTGGCGAAAGATCGGCAACTTCGGCTGCGACAGCTTCACTTGTAGTGAAAATGTAGGAAACTCTTCCTCTTAGAAACAAGAAGACGAAGAATAGAACTATTCCTATGGATAGTGATGTGAAAACCGCGGTCAATGTTGCAAACTTGGCTCCTTTGGGGTTTCCACTACCGAGCTCGTTGGACACTCTTACACTAAAGAAAAAAAAGAAGAAGAAAACGGATACATAAATAGTATCAGAAAAGTGAAGTGTTATCTGTGTGAATTAATATATGTATGCACCTTGCAGCTGCCAAAAACCCAAGTGCTATCATCATCTCCAATCCATTTATGTTGAGGCTACAAAAAAATGGAAAAGAAGAGTCGATTTACGCGTACCCTATTTTAAAAGAATCAAGTAAATAACATGTATAGATGTGTATTGGTTATGGAGACCAGAAGAGATAGAGATGGTGAATTCTTTTTAGTTTACCAGATTGCTAGTGCATCAAGAGCCACTTCTGCGTTTTTCAAATTTCCAGTGAGCAGTACCAAGATCGAGTTGTACCATAGTTCCAAGCTGTCCAAAATAACGGCCACAAAGTGATAATTATTATTGCGATATTATAAAGTTCTCAATATGCGTACATGTAAATATAGGTTAGAGACTTAAAAGCATGAAGTTTTGACTTTACTAATATAGAAACTTCATATCACCTACATGCACTACAAGAAATTTGGCCATTGGTAGCAAACCATTGTAGCACTAATTCACTAACTGCTACTAAAAGTGTCAAAATTGGATGTGAACTCTATTGTAGCATTAAATTAGTGTTGGAAAAGAATTTCAATAAGCGGGAACCCAAAAATCACTACTATAGCTAGAAAATCATTTTGGAGGCAAAACAGTGAACCAAAACTTAGGTTTTTCCGCCACTCTCACTCTTGCCAAAACTCTTAGACAAAAGCAAACACTTATTAGATCATTTTTCTCTGAAAATCTAAACCTATGTCGCCACCACGATTCCCTTTTCCGGTCACCAAAAAACCCATTTCCTCTCATTCCTCAACCTCCGTCGCCTCGATTTCCGTCGATTTCAGTCATTTCTCAACCTAGCTCTGTCGCCTCGATCTACCTCTGCGTTCGAAAAGGAATCAGCCCTCCTCTTGCCTGAGCTGGTGTTCTCTCCATCGCTCTAGTCCACCCTGAAGATTTCGAATAAGAAACCCATGAAAGGTTTAATCGTCATTCTCAGTTTCTTTGAGATATCTTTGAACTCTAGATTTAAACCCATGAACTCTAGATTTAATCGTCATTCTCAGTGTCTTTGATTTCTCTAATTACTTTCCATTAACTCTCATTGTAGCAAGAATCGAAGCCCTAGAGATATCTTTGAGGACCTAATACGAACATAAGCAAGAGAATCAATCTGCTTTACAATCTTCAGGTTATCGACTTTCTTCGAGCTATGGTTCTTATATTGTTTGTAATCTGTTTTTGTTTTTTTGTTTATTACAATAGAAATCGAGACATTCATGCTATTAGTTTGCAGGTTGGATCTTGTTGCTATTAGTTTGTTGGATCTCGTTTCTTTTTGGGGTGAAGACAACTTTAATTCACAAAGCCAATCTTCACAAGCTTATGGCGGTTAGTCGACCTCCAAATATGAGTTTTTAATTGGTTTATTATGTGTCTTATTTGTGGGTTTCATTGTTTCTGACTTTAAGTTCTTGATTGGTTTATTACATGACTATTTAATCTTGTTAATGTGAATGTCAATGTGTTTTTTTGGTGTTTGAGTTATTCTTATGGGTTTGTTATGTTTTGCTCATGGGTAAGATACTATAATGGTCGAAAAGTCATGAGTTCATCTTAACAGGTATGTGAAAACAATATATAGTTGAGGGTTTAATGAGGGATTAAGAGAGTTTAACATTTCTCATTAAGAGAATTTGGTTTCTCTATGAGATCCATTTTTTGTTTGTTTTGTGTAATGAAAGGGACAGAGACACCAATTGTGTTCTTCTGTTTAGAGATTTATGTTTTCAGACAAAATTTTTGGTTTGGCCCATTGAAGAACTAGCTTTAAATCACGAGCCAACTTTTTTATTCATCAATATGTCAAATCAATCCTTTAATCCAATTTTTTTTTCGAGTCATCTGCAATTTTGCATTATCATCTTTTGATATTGACTGATGAATAAAGAAGTTTATATAATTTGATCATTATAGTAACATTCACTACATCAAATCTTTTACAAACCTTTTAAACATGAACATTCAGTATAGAATTGTCATTTCTGTTCATGAACAAGAGTTTTCCAAATATGAGTTTTTTATCGGTTTACTATGCGTCTTAACAGGTATGTGAAAACAATATATAGTTAAAAGTTTAATGAGGGATTAAGAGAGTTTAACGTTTCTCATTATTTTTTTGCTTTCATCTCACTTTACTAAAGAGCTGATCTTGGTTATGAGAGAGGTACTTGGAATTTTGTGCGGTATGTGGCTGCAGCTTAAGGAGAAATAAAGATGATTATTTGCCCTTGCATTGACTGTTGCAACGTGGTACCGGTAATGGTGAGCTTTGTAGTTATTAATTTGCTCGTACTTTGATTTTACATAAGTGGGAAAATATGTCATACTAAGCTAAGATATTTTTGTTTTCAGGAGTGAAGTCAATTGCTTATTCTGAATTGATGGATGAAGTATGTTTATTGCTTTTAAGTTTAGCCGGCTATGTTTGAGAACTTGATCTGTTTAAGACATGACTTTGTGTTTTGTTTATGACTTGGTTTGATGGTTACATGTTCTCTTTTAGAGTTCATGATTTTAATCAGTTCACTTTGTATGCTTTGGATTTTTAATGGAAAAGCATTGATATTTTATGAATTTTTGTTTCTTGTCAAAGTATCACAATAGATTTTATGAATCCCAAAATTGATTATCGTGAATAGGTGCACAATTTTGACGAAACAATATTCAACGGCATTTTATCTATGTCATTATAAAATATTTTACGGCACTAAAACAAAGCCATGAAAGAGTACATAATAGCACGAAACAAGTGCTAAGAAAATATATCCTATAACAAACGATTATCGCTATAATAGGTTCATCTAGCGTAGCATTCAAAAACATGCTATCATATGGGGTGAGGCTATTATAGCTCCTCATGTCATAGCGTTCATGAAAACGCTACCAAATTGATATAGTAGCGTTTTCAATGTGCTACCAATGGCTAAATTTCTTGTAGTGATGTAAAGCTATTCATATGAACTTTCTTTTGTAACAAAAACTTAAGGATCAAATCCTAGACTCGTTGATAACTATATGGTTTGCTGCTTAAAAGATATAGGAAACCTTACCAAAGCATTCCACCGGAAGACATAGATAGTTTGAAGACAGGCCATAAATCTTTGAAGGCCAACATAGTGAATCCTCTCCATGTGTCCTTACACCCACCGCACGTGACAAACAAGAGTTGCGCAATGTTAGGCAACCAGAACGCAACTAGAGTAGAGGTCATAGCACCAGTGATCCCGAAATTGAAATGAACCATAAGTAGCCACGACAAGAAGACATGGACCGCTAACGAGACAGCAGCCACGTAGGCAATGATCTTGTTCTTGCTCTGCGCTTGGAGGAACATTTGGCAAGTGAAGGAAGGCACAAAAGAGAAGTTGATGCCTATGACCCATAGGGCTATGATCCGAGCCACGCGGACAATGCGTTCCTCTTGACCTAAGGCTAAGAGGATAGGGCCTGAAAAGATATAGACGGGCGTGAGGCAAATGGTACAACCTGTGAGGACGATCCATGATCTTTGGAGGTAGATCCCGAGCATATGATTTTGTTTAGCTCCGTAGGCTTGACCACATAGTGTTTCCAATGCACTGGCCATACCTAACTGCAAACAAAACAAAAGTCAGTAAACATGTTAATTAATCTCGTCCCTACCTTAGGTTGCTAAAAAAAGAAAACATTTTTCTCATATTGCTAAATTATATGTACAATTATCAGGATCTCAAACATTATTAAATTTAGTCTAGTGATTTGACGTTAATCAAAAGATATAGCCTCATATTATCAGTGAGTTCAACATTTAGATTCTCTTTTTTGGCTCTTTATGGCGTCCAGTTTATGGCTAAAAAGCTCGGACAAAATTTGATATGATGGTATTTTTGGATTTGTATACTGAAGTGAAAACATGTAAAATATGAAACAACTTTTGATTTTCAGTGTGGAGAGTGGTTAGGCCTCCGAAGTGGACTGCCAATGAAAAATCTTGTCAAACTTGTCGACGTACAAAACTTATCTAGCAGCAACTAAATTACTTTTCCTACACCTTAATACAGTACAAAAGAAAGCAGCATACACATTTTAAATTACGAATAAGAATACTTTCGTCTTATTTTATCCCCCACACGATCATCCAAATTTCTATAGCTAATTTTAACGTACTTATATAAGAAATTATATATTGTAACCTTTTGATGCAAAAGTTGAATTTGTTAGGCTACGGATGATATATGTGGTTATAGATATATGTGGTTCGCAAGAAACCACATGATACGGCAATCAGTGTCGACTGTCAGCATTCACATGATATACCTTATTTCAATTATTCCTCAAAAAGAAATTTATAATCAGTAGTCTTTTTTATTTTCTTTAAATTCTGACGAACCGAAAACATGTTTTAGTTTATTATTGAGTAATGTACTATTTAATAAAACGTAGACCAGAATTTTGGAAGAATTATATTTCTAATAATTTTCTCATTTGTTAGTCCATAATATTTAATGTGCAACAAAAGGAATTGTTGAACAAAATAAAAAGGAATTATTCTTTACCCAAAAAGACTTATCATAATCATCATTTTTCTATAAGTTTGTTTTGTTTCTATTTTCAGTAAGGTTCCACAATTCCTTACTGAATAGCTCTACATTTGTAAGCCAATCACTGATTCACCGGTAAAGAAACAATGAAAAGTTATTTCTAAATGACAAATGAAAAACGCGTTTAATTTATTAATTGTCAGTAATAACTAATAAATGTTGTGTTTTGAAAGAAATGATTTAACTGTTTAATTAATTAATCCATACAAACTAATTAGATTAAAAAAAATTGAGATTAAGAAGTACTAACCAAGATACCATTACTAAACCGGAGGAGAACGGTGAAGGTGATAGAGTAAGCGGCCAACTCTATAGGACCAAGATGGCCGATGAAAGATTGACTTATTATTGAAACTCCGAACGTTGAGAATCTCGTGAAGATCGCCGGCGCCGCCACAACCCATAGCTTCTTTGATTCAATCCAAACCCTTTGCTTCAACCCTAACTCATCCTCTTCTTCTCCGCCGTTCGCCGCCGTCTTTTTCAGCAAAGCCGCCGTGAGCTCCCCTCCTCCTCCAGCCATCTTGGATGGAGTCTCTGTTTGTATCTGATGGACCAGAGGGAAGGAGGAAATAAATAGAAGAGAGAAGGCAGAGACAGAGAGAGAGGAGAGTGTTTGTGTATGAATTGGTTTTTATGAGAACAACTTTGTGTTGTTGTCTTTATAAATTATTGTTTTTTTGTTTGTTTAAATCATATTTATTGGGAAACGAAACGCCGTCTACGTCTCTTGTAGCAGCAAGTAGCAGTGGGTAGTAAAATATTGCATTCTATTGACCATTTATTTTTGACTAAACCTGTCTATAGTAAAAGAATTAATGGTCTATAAAATGAAAGATCTTGGCTCCGAATAGAGAAAATGTATCGGGTGGACTGGATCAAGCGGTTCAAGCGTATCAAGCAGAACAAAAGCGGATCAAACAGATATGCCGTTACAAGTGCGGATCAAGCAGTTCGAACGCTTCAAAACATATGTTGAATGGTGAAAGCGGATCAGAAAATGCGGATGAAATATTTATATTATGAAAACATTAATTTTAAATAAAATATTTTACATAAACTATACATATTCAAAATTATATTAAAATAAATTATTAATATTGGTTTACATATTCTTAAACATGTATTTAAACAAAATGCACAATATCTATAAATTAATTCAAGTATTATTATAATAAAAAGGGATGAGATCTTAGATTATAATACAAGTAAAAATATATAATATACATAATTCTAGTAATTTAAATTATTACTCCAATTTTTGTTAGAATAAGTTAAGATTTGGTTCATCTGTAATTTCAAAATTAAATATTACAATGTTCTATTCTCTTTTCTTTGTTTAGTTTGGTTTAGTTCATCGGTTATGGTTATTTTAAATATGTAGTTTTTTCAGTTAAGTGTGAAAATATTTATATGGGTTACCAAAATTAACATTTGTGATTTTGTTATAGTTTTTCAATATTAAAATATCAATAATAAAATAAGCATATTTGTGGCACACAAAACACATCAAATTGGAAGCGTTTCTAATATATATAACCGTGCAAACGTTTACAATATACATATAAAAGTTATATTGTGTATTATTTTTTTATTCGTAGGATTAATCTGTATTGCGTATTAGCGAGTTTGATGATTTTTTTTGCACAAGCCCTTAATTATATTAACTAAAAAATTTAAAATTGTTTTACATCTTTTTGACATGTAATTTTCAGATACCAAAAACCTAATCTATTATCCAAATAATATGTGTTGTATTACTTCAACCATATCTGTTACATCTTCTTTTAAATATTTTTAACATTATTAAAAGAAAACAGGAGAACCGCTATAAAACCAGAGAACCGCTGTGTAATTCATGCGTTCCCACTGTTCATAGTGGATCTCAAATTTTGCTTCATGAAAATGAACCACATGCGGTTCAACAATTGTTTATTATTAAAAAAAATAAACGCTTCTATTTGATAACAAATGTCATGAATGGAAGATAATGATGTGGTCCATCCGTACCGTCATTGAACCGCATCTCCTCCGCCCTTCCATTCAAGAATTTAGCTAAAAGTATATATAGTAAAAAATTATTATTTAATATTTGATTCAACTACTTAAAAAATTAGAAAATAGCTGTAAATTTAAATATACATTAAAATTTGTAAAATATCGTATATAGTAAAATTTAAAAAAATAACAATTATTTAGCTCACATTTATATTTCTTGGTACACATATGTGTTGACTATTTGTTGCATCATAAACCCATAGAAAACAAGAATCAAGAATCGAACTATTATGTCACATTCTAGTGCTAACAAGATTGGGAGAAAGACGTAAGCAATTACATTATTTTTAGTGGATTAAGATTGTTATAACCATTAGAGAATTCCCATAACCAATGTTATTGTTCTTTTTTGAAGTCTCGTTTAATCTTCTACATTCTGGTTCAACCCAACGGTTCGATATCCCAACATTTTTCTGACCCAACAAGGGCATGTTTTTTCTTTAAGAACCAAATTCGTCCAAATCACTCACATTTTCAAATCTGATGGTTGGCCCCTTCCCGATCGGTAAAGGGGATGCTTCCCTTTTAAAAAGTTTTATCGCGGGTTTGAGGATTTTAAAAATGTTAGAGGAGGATAGAATTCTAAAGAGTATATGTGTTAACATATTATTAGTTTGTTTATATATAATTTATATTTCCTCGCATTTCATTTATATAAATATTATATTTTAGATTACCATAAGAATTATTATTATTCAGATTTTAAAAATAAGTTTTGTTTATTTATTTTTATTTTTTTTTGTCAACCACACATTAATTAATAAGAAACTCCTTGATTGGTTGCCCAATTAGGAGGAGAAGAGTCTACAAAAGAAATTTCAGAAAATAAAAGTCTAGAAGAACGGGCTAAGCAGTCCGCTTTAGTTTTGTTTATTTACTTAGTAAATTTGATTTTTAGTGAAATACTTTCCATGGTTGATACCAATTTGGCTTTTAAATTTTTAATTAAATAATTGACCAAAAAATAGGTATAAATTGCAAATGACATTTAAAGATAAAAAGAAATGTATGCATATAGGAAAATTTACTAAAGTGACCCATAATTTGTGTTTAATTACTAGAATGGCATACCAAAAATATGGGTTATATGGGTAATACTTATGACTAAAATGTCTCTGTTTTGCTTTGTAGAGAAAAACATATTACAGGAATGCCATTAATATTTCATTCCAGCATGGCAAAAAAATACAATTTATTTACGATACTGCCACTCCGTCTTTTTGCTCGGTTTTGTTAAATCTGTGGCTCTTGTTGCGACAGATTTATTTAGTACGACAAACTATTTGATCCACCACAGACTTTCTTCCATAGACTTTTTTTGTACTAGAGACTTTGTTTGATTTAGTAATGACAGATACTCCCTCTGTTTTTTAAAAGTTGTCATTTTAACTGTATTTGGACAAATTAAGAAAAGGTATACAATGACTATATTAACCTCATAAAAATGACAAGTAATTATTTACAAATAATTTGTGTTCAATAAAATGAGGGTAATTTGGGTAGTTATTGGCATAAATTACATTATTACCTTAAAACGACAACTAATTTAAAACAAAAAAAAAGCTCTAAAACGACAACTATTTGAAAACGGAGGGAGTATATATCTTTTCGCAGATTTTTTTTTCGTGACAAATTTGTTGTATGTTGTATCCACAGATTTTTCTAAAATTTTAAGATTTTGAATGGTTATAAAACAAATCTGCCACAGATTTGTTTTCCAACCGCAGACTTTTCTTTGTTTTCGCAACATATTTTATGATTTTTTAAAAAAACTGTCGTTTTATAACAGATTTTTTAACACAAAAATTGTTATATAATGATGACAGAGTTGTTTTTTGTATTCGCATATTTTCTTTATTTGTTGACAAATCTGGGGTTTTATAGCAGGTTTTTTGAAAAAATATAAATACTAAACAGTCGCATAGTGATAACAGATTTGTTTTTAGTTATGACAGTTATGTTTTTTAGACCCTAAGCATAACAGATTTTCTCATGTCATGTTATGGCCGATTTGTTTCTAACTAGAATAACCTTTTTAGTGTTGACAAACTTTTGGTTGGCAGATTTGTTTTTGAAATTTCAAAAAATCGTGTTACATGAGATTTAATATCTAGCCTCAAATTCAACAGAACTTCAAATCTTGCCGGTTTGCTTGTATGTTTAAACCGGTTTGATTGCGTTTAGTTACGACAGACTTTTATTATCTCTGACAGATTTATACAAATTATTGCCATAGTTGACGTTTAATGCATTAAATTCCTAATAATTAGAGAAGGAATATTCTTCTAGGGTTTTTGCTCCAAAAACGGTTTTCGTTTTTGTCTTCTTCTTTTACGCTTACCCACTATCTCACGATTTCATCCTTTATTTTTCTTCCTTTTCGGGATCAAATTTGCTTCAATTGTTTATGTTCTCCTTTTGATCTTCACTTTGCTTCCCTCTCCTGCTATTTGAGTGTCGTTCCATATTTTTTTTGTTTTTCTTCCTTTTGATTGCTGTGAGATCGAAGTCCAAGGAATTGGGCATGGATCAGGTGATTCTCGTGTGTGGATAATGGATCTTTGAGAAAACAAAGTGGCTTTTTGTCGTTGATAATAGTAAAGGTTGTCGCGTACTAGAAGGTAACAGTCAAACTAGTTATGATGATTTCATTCCAATGGTGTATGAGGACTACGGCTTGGATAACAGGGTAGTCGAAGTTGTTTTGAGTTACAAGATCTCAAATTCGAAGAAATTACCAGCAGATATACCACCCGTAATTATTGGTAACAATAGACAGTTTCAGTCTTTTTTGGGCCAAACGAAAAAAAGTCTCTCGGAGCTGAAACAACCAACATATAGACAAAGCTTCAAAAAAAGCAAAAGTCTGAAATAACAGACATACAAAAGTCTGAGATAACCTAAATAAAAAAGGCTAAGATAACAAAAACAAAGCTTCTAGGAATCATCGAGCTGAGGTATAGGGAAGTCCTTGCGACGAATATCAGAGTTAAGTGTTCCGGCATACTCTCCTAATTCGTCAAACATCTTCGCAGCAAGTTTAGTCCTGAGGGCCTGCATGTTCTTGTCACACAAGCCATCGAATGACTGCCTAAGCGCCAAACATTCGATGTACTTTATCGAGTAGATAGCACAATCGCCTGCATCGTCATTCTCAGGGACGTTTGAAATTCTCTTAACTCCCAACCTTGCATAGCTCTTCTTACGCACCTGTACAGGAACAAATGCACTCAACATAGCAGAAATAAAAAATAGAATAAATCTGTCATTACAGTCCGATCAAATCAAAAACAAAATATACAAAGGCGGGAATTTTTTTGCTAAATTATTTCCGACGAAATTGGCCAATAAACTTACCGGAATAATTAACGGTTAAGCCGCATATGCAACAGAGGATAGAGATCTGCAACATTGACAATTTTTGATTATCAAAATTCGATTTCAAAAACTTCACTCTAATTTTGACAAAAGCATTGTCTTTGTACTCAGGAAAGGGATGCTTTATCTTACAACTAATCTGATGAAATTGCCCTAATTTCTTGTTCCAATAACGAACTAACAATCGCTGGAAGGATAAAGATCTACAACAAAAAACAAATCCGATTTAAGAAACATGAGTACAAGACAAGAGAAGAACACGGTTTTCAAAATCATCAATCGGATTTCAGAATCATCAATCGGAAAAGGGAAATAATGAAACATGAGAAGAACACGGTTTAAGAGTTTACATACCTAGAACGAAGCCAAATGAAACCAACGACGAATCGACACAGATCTCTAACGCCGGTCACTCAAACAACAGAATCAAGTACGATTGACGGAGACTCGACGGCGAGGCCAGATTTTGACATGCATCCGGTAAACGAGACAAAGAGATTCGATGGCGACTGAAAAAGAAAGGTAGAGTTTTTTGTGTTTTTGGAATCGTCTGCGACGATGAAGAAGAATAAAGGGAATGTCGATATGTTTTTTTTATTTTTAGAAAATGTAATAATGCTTCTTTATTTGGTTAATTGTTTTATTTTTGCTTTTTGATTTATTTAAATAATGAATGGCATGATGGTGAATTTTGTTACCCAAAAAGGTTTTTCAGACTTTTTAACAAAAATATGAGTTATTCTAGTAAACCAAATCAACCGGGTGTTATTTGAGTTATTTTAGTAAAGATTAGAGTCATTCTAGGCAAATCTCTTTTTTATTTGGAATTTAGTCATATCTACCATTTTTTCTCAAAAGCTTTTCATTTCTACCATTTCTGATTATTTCTTTTCGTATATGCCACATTTGTGTGGTATAATAAAACTTTTTTTTCCTTAATTGTTGCGTCATATGTGTGTTAGGAAAAGGATAGTAGAAACTGATGGAGGGAAAATGGGGAGCATCGACATTTAATGGAGACAATGAATTAACTGATTAAAAAAATGTAAAGCATTAAGTTAATAGAGTAAGTTTAGGCCATTAATTATTAAAGACGTGACTAGAGGTTGTGCAAATTCATATCTGAAAATTGGAGAATTTATTTAAACTTTAAGAGTGTTTATGCAAGACAAAATTGAAGTGTGGTGGTTGCGAGAGGGACATTAGACGAAATGAGGTAACGATTTTTAAAAACCGTTATGTTGGTTGAGTGTTATAAATGCAACAATACGATTTGTAAATGGTACGGAAAATTTAAACTAATGCTTGCTTGTCGTTTGCGTGGACATGTTTCAATGGACGAATATGTTATGGTACTGGTCGGTGAATGGGAATGTAAAGAGGGTGGTATTTGGCGTTTTCAGGTGTCGGACATGAAATATGCAAAGTGTGTGGATCTAGAAGAAGAAGACAAGTTTATAGATTTGGAAAAGAAAATCGCGAAAGTGTTTGGGATTGACACGAAGAGAACGAAAATTGAGCTCAGTTTTTGGTACGAAGGGGGAGAAACGGTGTTTACGTATTAAAAGATGCCATCTGTTTCGGTGGATAGCGAGATTGCATTGTCAAAATTCAAAAATATAAGGTTAGAGGGGGATGAACATGTATTTAATTTTAGCAGAAGACAAGGAAGAATTGCTTGTGGCGGTAAGACCAGGCGGAAGCTGTAGTTTTGATCAGAACGTTGTAAGAGCTGTAGCGATAGTGGATGCGGAACAAAAGGCAACTAACCAGATGGTTCGGGGAAAAAGGATGGTAATGAGTGTCTCCCATTGACGTATGAGGAGGTGGGATTTTTGGAAGAAGTAGATGAGATAGATGATGTTTACAGGAAGAAGGACATTGTAACGAGAACTACTAACCGAAAACGTGAAAGAGATGATTCCGAATTAGTGGAGGTGTGTTGGAGGCTACTAGAGATGATTCCGAAGAAACGGTGGTGAGTGATGAAAAGTCAGAAGATTATGATTTTGACAACATGAGAAAATTGATTGAAAAAGAGTATCTAGTTGGTCTACTGATGAAGATGGATGAGAAGATGATATAGAGGACGATGGCGGTAACTATGGACATGAGCAGGTTATGCGTAACACAACAGTCGGATTAGGAGGCATATTGTCCTCGATAAGACGAAACAATGCAGCAGATGTTGGTGAATGGGTGGGGGGCAGTGGACCAGACTTTGGGACAATGACCATCCATATGGGTCGAGGAAGTATGTCTTTCGTGTGTTTTAAGCAATGGAGATGAACATGACAAGAGTAACATCGTTCAGAGTATAAAGCAAGTTATCCCCGATAGGACGAACCAATGCAACATATAATGGTGAAAGGGTGCATGGAGTTGGTGAATGGGGACCAAAAGATGCACCAATGTCCATACAGTTGGGTCAAAGAAGTTTGTCCCTAAAAAGGTTAGCTATGGACATGAACATGATAAGGTCCCGAGTAACACACATTTGGAAGTGGGTAGGAGGTTATCTCCGGCAGGACGAAACAATGCAGTAGAAGAAATCGGAATGGCTTATCGGCGAAAACAAACCAAAGTTTGTGTTTTACCGTGTGTAGAGGTGCAACACCCCGATTTGAGGAATATGGTGGTGCATGCAGAGATGTTTAAAAAGAATTGATTTGGCGATCTATGTTACCAAAGTGCACTTATCTTTTCGGTCAATTGTCCTGAGAGAACTCCACAGTTAAGCGTGCTTGAGCTGGAGCAATTTCAGGACGGGTGAGTGATTGTCGGAACTATGTGAGTGAGGACAAAACACAGGGAAAGATCATGTGGTGATTTATAAGGTCGGTAAACAAGTCTTTAAAACCTCCCGGACGTAACGGACCGTCCGTCAAACAGGTGTGGGACCCATGGGCCTGAGAGAGGATATGGGGCCCACTGGTAAGGACGGTCGGGGCGTTACAAGTGGTATCAGAGCCGAACCTAGACGTGTGTGGAGTCAAGAGGGCTCACACCGTCGGGAGTGACGGTCTTGGTGCGCAACGAGGACGTTGCGATCTGTTAGTGGGGGTGAATTGTAACACCCCGATTTGAGGAATATGGTGGTGTATGTGGAGAGGTTTAAAAAAAATTGATTTGGCCACCTATGTCACCAAAGTGCACTTATCTTTTTGGTCAACTGTCCTGAGAGAACTCCACAATTAAGCATGCTTGAGCTGGAACAATTTCAGGATGGGTGACCTTCCGGGAAGTGATTATCGAAACTATATGAGTGAGGACAAAACACAGGGAAAGATCATGTGGTGATTTGTAGGGTCGGTAAACAAGTCTTTAAAGCCTCCCGGACGTAGCGGACCGGCCGTCGGACAGGCGTAGGACCCATGGGCCCGAGAGAGGATGTGGGGCCCACTGGTAGGGACAGTAGAGGTGTTACAAGAGGTCTCTAAACAACATCTGGTGGACAAGTTTGCCAGAAAGCGAGCATTTAAGAACATGAAGCTACAAAAGGGAGCCGAAACATGACGCCTAGAGGTAATTGAATTCTCTAATGCTTCTAAGAGATCAAGCAAATATTCGGGCTTTGAGTAATAATTGATACATCCCTTAGGCGGTAGTAATCGGTGGCTTAAAGCTGTTTGGAAAGACGATCTGGGTTAAATACGTTGACAACTGGATCTCTTGGTTGTCGAGATACAAATGGTGTGGTTTTACCAGACGAAGATCTAAATTTACTCTTGGTGGGCTTCATTTAATCTTCCTGTGAAAATCAAACAAAAGAAAATAAAGTAAAATCCCAGTAGATGAGGACATAATTCAAGAAAAATTAGAAATTAAACTAATTTACAACAACATCAATTGTGTGGACCAAAGTCGATGCCGAAAAATCAAAAAACAAAAATTATGAAACGTGAACAACTCGGGGACAAGATTTAGGAGTAACAGGTAATCGAGAAAGATGGAGGTGGATAAACATAAATTGGGGACTAAATTCGTTGAATGATGATTCAAATTCAGGGACTATATTAGAAGAAATGAACATGCAGACAAACAAAACAAAACGAGAATTTAAAGCGTTTGCTTTACTTGTCGTCTTTTCGAATTGTGGAAGATGAAGAAGAAATAGAGCGGAAGTTATTAAAGACAGGGAAAGTAATTAACTCTTATTTAATCGATGAAAACGGAAAAAAATTATTCTCAAAATCGTTTAAAAACACAATTAATGATGAAGATAAAGAAATGGGAAAGTGACCAAGTGCACAAGTCAAATCCGAGATAGATTTGGGTACCAACTACTGCGCCAAATGCATGCAATTTGGTTATTCCATAACTCAAATATGGTAGATCTGAAAAGTATAGAACAGAAGTAATAGAAATGAAATTAAATATGAAAATTGTAGTAGATTTGTTAGTTTTCTCTTTTTATTTCATAAAATGATATAAAAAGGTTTTGTGGTTGTGAATTAGGATTTGTAATATATATATATATATATAAGTATTTGTAAATAAGAAACCAAAACAAAGCTACGACAAATATATATATAAAAGTATTTGTAGAGAAGAAACCAAAACAAAGCTACGACAAACGGGGGCAACAAGTCTACGTAAGCAGTTACGTCACTGTGATATTAAATGGTAACCGAAGAATCTCGTTGAATCCGGTTGAATATATTTGTGTTTTTTTATGGAATCTGGCTGAATAATTTAAAGTTCAAATGGTAACCGTTGAATCTGACTGAATTTTTTTAACTAATCAAATAATCTTCTAAAACTATGAACTAGAGAAATGTTTCGCCGAAGGCAAACCGATACTGACAAGAAACCAAATAGATCTTAAGCTTTATTACCGAAGAACCGGAACCAAAATATTTTGGATACCTGAATGAAACCGAAATACAATTATATATCTAAAATATTAGGTAGTTTTATACCGAATAATAAAAGATCCAAATAACCAAAAAATACAATACAATAAAAGTATTTGAAAATTTCCCGAAAATATTTGAAATGTTATTTGGGTAAAACCGGAATTGAATTTTGTTTTTGAATGCTAATCAGTTTTTGATTCAAAAAATCAGAAATGCTCAGAAATACTTGGAACCGAACCGAGTTTTAACCAAAATTCTAAAATAACCCAGTGTATACTAAACTCGAGAAGCGAGATATCCAAAACCAAAAATTACAGAATTAAAATTACATGTTTACTAATGAAATGCATCACATGTTTGTTGTTTGATTCTCTCTCATTGTTTGCTTGTGTTCTATTTGTTGAAGGTTTGATTAATTCAATAAATCAAAGAATGAAGTGGGACTACTACAACAAAGGATCAAAAATTCCACAACAATTCTACGGTTACAAATGATGTAACATGTATTTTTTTCACATGAATTCTTCGACTTCGACAATTCCACAAATACATGTTACCATTTACTGCCACAATCTATCAATCATCATCACGAACATGAAAACATTTTTATTTTAGGGAAAGTCACAAAACAAATCCAGAAAAATGTAGTACCAACTGGAGAAAATTATATATATATATATATATATATATATATATATATATATATATATATGGGAGACTCACAAAAATGCTCCTTTTTCAATACCCTTTTCAAAAATTCATCTTTGGCTGTCCATTTTTAAAAATACCTTTTTTATGTACAAAATGACTAAATTACCCTTCTTTTAATAAAAGATATCACAAATATATAAGGAAAACATGAGAATGTGCACACATCAAAATTACAAATTTGATTTTGTAAAAACTTGTAAAACCTTTAAAATACCTTGTAAAATTTTTCCGTAAAAATTTTTCCCGCCAAAAAAAGTTTTTTGCGGGAAAAGTGATTCTGCAATTTTTTTGGCGTTAAATTTTTGGCGGGAAAAATTTACAAGGTATTTTAAAGGTTTTTTACAGGATATTTATAAGGTTTTACAATGTATTTTAAAAGGTTTTACAACGTATTTATAAGATATTTATAAGATATTATAAGCTTTTACAAGCTATTTTATAAGGTTTTACAAGTTTTTTATAAGGTTTTACAAGTTATAAATACCTTATAAAACCTTATAAGTACCTTGTAAAACCTTTTAAAATACATTGTAAAACCTTACAAAACACTTGTAAATACTCTGTAAAATCTTTAAAATACCTTGTAAATTTTTCCCGCCAAAAAAATTTGCGGAATCACTTTTCCCGCAAAAAAAAAAATTTTTGGAGGGAAAATTTTTTGGCGGAAAAAATTTTTACGGGAAAATTTTACAAGGTATTTTAAAGTTTTTACAAGTGTTTTGGCGGGAAAATTGCGGGATCACTTTTCCCACCAAAAAATATTTTGTATTTTGTGGACCTAATTTTGTTTCAAATAAAGGTAAAATGGTCATTAAAAATTAAAAGAGGGCAAACTTAAAAATAAACACTCAAAAAGGGCATTTTTGAAAAGAGGTATTGAAAAAGTGGCATTTTTAATAATTTCTATATATATATATGCAGGAGAAAAAACACAAATTTACTTATCTTATTAGTACTAACAATATTTTGGCTATGTTTACAGGTAAAGGAGACGATTTTAGTTCTATACACATAATACAATAGAACAACAGAGAGAAAAGGAGTTAGTACTAACAATATATAACTCAAATTCGACCCTAAGCTGATTAAACTCGTGAGCTTATATTCAGATAAAATCTCTAAGCTAAAATTACATTCTATATAGAAATTACTAGCATGTCATTGCAAAAAAAAAAATGGACAAATTTAAGACATATCAACAAAAACAGATGTGTATTCATCAAAAAAACAAAAACAAATTTATATTCTACTTAAACAAAAGAAAGCAAAAACAAATAACTAGCTATACCCCAAAAGAATATCATCATAATCTTTAAATACATCATATGTTAATTATTCCTCTGATGAAATTTGGTTTGCATCTCTAGATTCTGGTACAACCCACCGGTTTATATTTCTCAACGACGTAGATACCTAAAAAGAGTGGCAACAAACAGTATAAGCTACACTTTCGTTTTTCTCTTCTTTAACATATTAATCGAGGGAAAATATTATATACTAATCAATTTCTAACCTGTTGATCCCAATCTGTTCTGAGAGTCATGATGCTAAGCACACAAGTCTGAACAAATATTCCAAAAAGCATTCCGATCCATACACCCTTCAAATATATAAAGAAAATAAAGTTTTATGTTGTTTTGACTCGTTAATTTTATTACTTTTATACATTATGAAGAAAAGATATATAAAAAGAAAAACTTACTTTGACTTGCAAACCAACAACGTAACCAAGGATCACACCAACAGGAATTCCGAGAAAGTAATAGCAAGCAAGGTTAACGTAAGCCACATATCCTTGCCATCCCGCTCCGACTGCCACTCCTGTTAAGGTTTGAAACCAGTTCAAGACACATACTACTTCAAATATCGGTTCGAATTCGATATTATAATAACTATCATGTGTCAACTATCTAAAATATGTACCAGAGAGAACGGGTTGAATACTATTCAGGAGGATGGAAAATGCTAAGAGTGGAGAAAGATCGGCAACTTCGGCTGCGACGGCTTCACTTGTAGTGAAAATGTAGGAAATTCTTCCCCTTAGAAACAAGAAGACAAAGAACAGAACTATTCCTATAGAGAGTGACGTGAAAACCGCTATCAATGTTGCAAATTT